CCCTCACTAGAGGCAGGTGACATTGCGCTCTTGGTGTAGGGAACCCACCACCGACAGAGGAGAAGGGGGTGGTGGGGGGGTGGGCAGAGACTTGACAGCACCCGCATTCTCCCACCCCCCTGAAATATGATCAGGGGGGCTTGGATGTATCCAAGGGAAGATGAGGCCGTCTTAAAGATCTGCTGGGAACCCCGACACATCGATAAACCCTGCGCCGATTCCGAGAGGGCTCAGAGATGGCGATTGTCCCTTGCGTCTCTGCTCTTCTTCACCGTCCTGCTGTCTAACCACCTCTGGCTGGTCTCCGCTGGGGCCAAGGCGAGGGGGAACTTCTCCTATAGCCACCAGGGCAACCTCAGCTGGCTCTCCTCTCAAGGCTTCCCCGGGGGTGCCAGGGGGTGCTGGGACAACTTCTTAAGCAATTCGACCAAATCTGCTGCTCAATCTCCGCATTGCACTGGTGCCAGGTCCTCTCACCTGGACACTGCCTGCACCAAATTGCAAAGACATCGGGGCTCTGGTGGCCCTTCCTTCCCCAGGTCCCACTCCCCTTCCTCCACTTCCTACTACCAAAAGAGGAACTTTTTGAAGGCTTATTTTAACAATTTCACGCTGTCCTTTTGTGATACTTACACCATCCTGGACCTGCTGCTGGGGATGTCCAACCCGGACAGCTTGAACTGCAGCCTGGAGAACCTGATGGAGGACTTCGTGGGGACTGCTGCAGCCTCGTCCTCCTTCACCGACGACGAGGTGTGCAGCAACTGTATCCAAGCTTACCAGAGACTGGATCAACATGCTCAGGAAAAATACGAGGAGTTTGATTTTGTTTTGGAGAAGTACCTGCAATCTGGGGAATACTCTGTGAGGTCCTGTGTGGGAGAATGCAAGGTAAGAGGCACAGGTGCATGGGAGACCTGACATGGACAACTGTGAAAGTGTCAGGCCCAGCAAGAGCATGTGGCTGCTAAGGGGCCCAGAAGCACAATGGGGGCCCAGAGCTGAGGGGTTACAAAGGGATTTATGCAGGCTTTTGCATTGGATGCATTCATGGAAAGTCTGGAAAGCTTTTCGCAATGCTATTGCTATGGAAATAATTATTATTCTGTGTCTGGGTGAGCATGCCATTTGTGCAGACAGGGGCCCTCTGGGATTTAGTGGACCCAAAGATGTGGAATGAGTGAATGTTGGGACATTTTAGGGCAAGTAATGAGCAGAAGTTATGATACCTTAACCATTCTTCAGGTCTACATGGTGTTGGGTACAGGTCACCTCCTTTACTTCCTGCTTGAAGGGTGCTGAGATACCTGAATGGTTCTTCAGTTTGCTCTGGACACCATTTGGACAGGAAGTCAAAGGGATTTCCACTGGTCACCATTTGGACAGAACGTCAGAGGGATGTCCACTGGTCACCATTTGGACAGAACGTCAGAGGGATGTCCACTGGTCACCATTTGGACAGAACATCAGAGGGATGTCCACTGGTCACCATTTGGACAGAACATCAGAGGGATGTCCACTGGTCACCATTTGGACTATAAGTAAGAGAGATGTCCACTGGTCACCATTTGGACTATAAGTAAGAGAGATGTCCACTGGTCACCATTGGACAAGAAATCAGAGAGATGTCCACTGGTCACCATTTGGACAGGAAACCAGAGGGATGTCCACTGGTCACCATTTGGATAGGAAGTCAGAGGGATGTCCACTGGTCACCATTCGGACAGGAAGTCAGAGGGATGTCCACTGGTCACCATTTGGACAGGAAGTCAGAGGGATGTCCACTGTTGGATCCCCATTGGGTATTATGGACTGTGGAAGACCTAAGGTACCCTCAGGTCTATTCCTCACCTGCAATTTTCTACCTATACCCAGTAAATATTTGTTTGTAGGCATTAACACACACATATGTTCTCAGAGGGGACCTTTGCTTGCTTGCTTTGTCTGCCATTGTTCTGTGCCGCCAAAGGAATTGTTACAGAACAATAGAAATAACAGAAAGTAAAGGGTGCACGTCAAGCCAAATACTGTTTTAAAATGGTTTTGGATGTGGTGGGTAAGAAATAGAACCTTCCTCTTTGGTTTCACCGCCATCTTGGGTTATCATAGAGATTTAACCTCATTTCCTGTCATCAGACAGGAAGTAGGGGAAAATCTGCAACAGAGACCCAGACAGAAATAAAACCTGACAGGTGTTCTAGCCTTCCCTACAAAAAAAAAAAAGTGTTTTTTTCTCTTTCTCGTTGATTGTTATCTGGACAGGAAGTGAGGCGAAAGCTCTTTAATGGAGGTTCAGATAGCAGAACCTGGAGCTCTAATCCTTCTCCACTATCCATGTGTAATATATTCTTTTTGGTTAGGCAAATATCTTTGCTATGGTACCTCATCACACGGGTCCAAGCTTGCAGTTTGGTGACCTCACATCATACATGTTTTACTTCCTGCCCCCCAAGGCCAATTTATTCTTGTGCCCACCCCCCACTTCCCTCCCAAGGTTTGTGGTTGTCTGGCATTTTACGATAGTCTTCTGCTGGCCGTAGTATTACACTGACAATATAAGAAGTGGTAGCCATACAAGACACGCTGAGGCCGAGCGTGGGAAGGATAAGGGAGGCAGTGTCACTTCTCTGTGTCAGAATATTTAGAAATGACATATTAGTAGGTGAATTGTTGCAGGTGCAGGAAAATGAGGACCTGTCTGATGGCACTGACAACCAGGACAGATGGGACAGTGGTACCTCAGTCAGTGATGTCTGGGGGGCTGTGTGCTGCCACTGGATTCCTTGCTACCATAGGCCATGGTTGAATATGCTGAATTCCAGCCCTGCTTCTTCTGGATACACTAGTTACCCCCCTTCTGTCTCTGGATTCAGTAGTTTTGAGTCGCTGATCTGGAACAAGCCAAGGAGAGAGGAATGACTTATCATAGCCCCCCTAACTCTTTCTGTAACCATAAAACTAACATCCCTGTAATCCCAACACTTTTCATCACTTAAACCATAACAGTAGTCCTCCCTGCAAGCCCAACACCAGCCCTCCATGTGAACACAACACTAACCATCCCTTCAACCCTAACAGTAGTCCTCCCTGCGACCGGGAAATTAATCCTTCTTGTAAACCCAACACTAACTCTCTATGTAACTCCAACTCTAATCCTCCCTGTAACCCCAGCAATAATTATTCCTGTAACCCCGACACTAACCTTCCCTGTAAACCTAACACTAAGTTTCCTTCTTAACCCTAACAGTAGCCGTCCCTATAACCCTAACAATGTTCCTCCCTAAGACCCCAACACTAACCCTTCCCGTATTCCCAACACTAATATTCCCTGTGGCCCTAACACTAACCCTTACTGTAACCCTAACACTAACTTTACATGAAGCCCTAGCAATATTCCTCCCTATGACCCCAACACAAACCTTCCCTGTAACCCCAACAATAACTCTCCCTGTAACCCCACCACTAGCCATCCCTAAAACCCTAAAATATTCCTCCCTGAGACTCCAACACTAACTCTTCCTGTATTCCCAACACTAATACTCCCTGTGACCCTAACACTAACCTTTACTGTAGCCCCAGCAATATTCCTCCCTATAAGTCCAACACAAACCCTCCCTGTAACCCCCAACAATAGCTCTCCCTGTCACTCCAACACTAGTCCTCCCTGTAACCCTTATACTAACCCTCCTTGTAACCCCAACACTGACCATTCCTGTAACCCTTATACTAACCCTCCTTGTAACCCCAACACTGACCATTCCTGTAACCCTAAAACTAACCCTCCCTATAAACCTAACACTAACTCTCCCATGTCCCCAATACTAACCCTTCCTGTTTTCTCAACCCTCTTTGTAACACTAACCCCTCCCTCTTATCTTGACATCATTCTTCCCTGTGACCCCCAAACTAACCCTCCCTGTAACCCTAATACTACTCCTCCTTGTAATCCTCACACTAACCCTTCCCGTAACCCTAACACTAACCCTCTTTGTAACCCTAACACTAACCCTCCCTCTTATCTTGACATCATTCTTCCCTGTGACCCCCAAACTAACCCTCCCTATATTACAACACTAACCCTACCTGTAAACCCAACACTAACTATCTTTGTAACCCCAATAATAAGTCTCCCTGTAACCATAGCACTAACTGTCCCTGTAACCCTAATACTACTCCTCCTTGTAATCCTCACACTAAACCTTCCTGTAACCCTAACACTAACCCTCATTGTAACCTCAAAACTACCCCTCCCTGTAACCCCAACAATAACTCTCCCTGTAACCCCAACACTAACCATTCCTGTAACCCTAACGCTAACCCTCATTGTAACCTCAACACTAATCCTACCTGTAAACCCAACACTAACCCTACCTGTAACCTAACACTAACCTTCCCTGTAACCTCAACACTAACCCTTCCTGTAACCGCAGCACTAACCGTATTGTAACCCTAATACAACCCCTCCTAACACTAACACTTTCTGTAACCCTAACACCAAGCCTCCCAGTACTACTGACCTTACCATGAACTCTCCCTGTAACCCTCACACTGACCCTTCCTGTAACTCTAACACTAACCCTCATTGTAACCTCAACACTATCCCTCCCTGAAACCCCAACAATAAATCTCTCTGTATCCCCAACACTAACCCTCCCTGTAACCCTAACGTTAACCGTACCTGTCACCCTAACACCAAGACTCGCTGTAATACTAAGCCTAACATGAACTCTGCTTGCAACCCTCACACTAACACTCATTGTAACCTCAACACTATCTTTTGCTGTAATCACAACACTACCTGTAACCCTAACACCAAGCCTCCCAGTACTACTCACCCTAAAATGAACTCTCCCTGTAACCCTCACACTAACCCTTCCTGTAACCCTAACACTAACTCTCATTGTAACATTTACACTATCCCTCCCTGTAACCCCAACAATAACTCTCTCTTTAACCCCAACACCAACATTCCTGTAACCCTAATACTAATCCTCCCTGTAACCCTAACACTAGCCCTTCTTGTAATCACAACAATAGCTCTCCTATGACCCCAACACTAACCGTCCCTGTAACCCTCACACTAACCCTTCCTGTAACCCTAACACTAACTCTCACTGTAACCTTTACACTATCCCTCCCTGAAACCCCAACAATAACTCTCTCTTTAACCCCAACACTAACCATTCCTGTAACCCTAATACTAATCCTCCCTGCAACCCTAACAATAACCCTTCTTGTAATCACAACAATAGCTCTCCTATGACCCCAACACTAACCGTCCCTGTAACCCTCACACTAACCCTTCCTGTAACCCTAACACTAACCCTCATTGTAACCTTAACACGATCCCTCCCTGTCACCCCAACAATAACTCTCTCTTTAACCCCAACACTAACCATTCCTGTAACCCTAATACTAATCCTCCCTGGAACCCTAACCCTAACCCTTCTTGTAATCTCAATAATAACCCTAGCTGTAACCCTAACACCAAGCCTCCCTCTAATACTAAACCTAAGAACTCTGCCTGTAACCCTCACACTGACACTCACTGTAACCTCAACACTATCTCTTCCTGTAACACTAACCCTCCTTGCATACCCAACACTAACCATCTTCTGTATCATCCTAACACTTCTTCTGCAAACTCATCTCTCCTGCACCAGGATCCTGAAGACCAGCTAAAAGATATCAGCACCAGGATCCCGGCACCAGAATTTGGTGTTTGGTAGGTCCAGCCGGTGACTTGCATTGTCCTAAAACTAAAGGCAAGTGTCATCTGTTAGAAGGCAGCCAGCAATGGCGGCCCACATACTTTCCTGGCGCACGTTTCCTTATATCCCATAAATGATCTTTCATAAAGAAATCTTCACACGTTCCGGGAAGGACATGAA